CTGCCGGCGCGTCGGACAACTCGTCTCGCCTGTATCGAGATGCGGTCAGGCCGATACTGAAGACTTTAAGAATGTGGCCAAAAGACCCATACACCAATGTGGCGAATCAAGATGCTGGATCATCAGAACATGTGATGCGCGGTTCACATGCTCCCACAAAGCAGAGACTCTGGCGCTTTGTCATTTGCGAGACTTGCTTTCTTGGCATACATGTAAAGCCTGCCCCTAGAACGACGAGGACTTGCCAGGTGGGGCAGACTCTCGGTAGGCATTCTCATCGTGTGGTTTTGGCCTGTCTATCTGTCTATCGCCGGGGGAGGCGCAAGGCGAACTTGGAGCGCCGCGTACAGCAGCAGCAACAACTGGAGGTTCGAGTTCCGGGGAGTTCGAGCAGAGGTCGGAAAGGATTATGGCACATAGTGACATGACATAGTGGTTTACATTCTGACGACAGCAGGGCGTATGCCGGACTAGTGGAACTGTTTTTGGATCTCATGAAAATATGTCAAGGCACGCTGGTCGTGTCCGCCCTTCTGCGGATAACATGTTGGCTAAATCAGAAGTTTCTCCGGAGCGATGCAATCAAATTTACAGCTTCCCCATCGGCTCGTCGTAGACCTTCTGCACCCAACAAACCATACACCATCGTCGGACTCGGCGCATGCCAATTCATGGCAAGCATTGCACACGAGGAGGAGGAGCTTCGTCGGCAGTCCATACATGCTGACGCACAGAGAATCTCGGCTGCACGAGCCATTCACACTTGAGAGCATGTACGGGGCGACTACTGACTGCTGTAGTGGGCCTGTACATCGGGGGTCGGCCTCACGACTTGTAGCCGACTCCTTTTGTCCACTGTGCAGAGCTGCTCGGTTCAAAGAGGGTGGGATGTCTCGATCAGGTTATGATGTTGCTGAACTTGTCCGCCTTTGACTAAGAGCTTTGGAGCCTTCTAGACTGCATGCTTTTCAGCACCCAAGCCAAGGAAGTTGGAATCGACAGCGTGAGGAGGAGGCGGCGTCTGCTGGACTAGGTTTAGGAGATCCAACCCATGGAGACAAAGGCAAATGCATACCAGTTGGGACACAAGGTAAAAAGAACAAGGTTGCTTTGTTGGGTTGACCCGCTCCCTGCGTCAATCGTTATTTTCGAGAAATCCATACATGAGCAAAAGTGTAGAGATAGGTACATACATACACATAGATACACATACAATGCGTGGATGTCTTTTTGCGGGCATGTGCACATACAGGCACGTTCGTAAGAACCTAGCGGACGGAAGTCACATGTGCAGGACAGGCCGATGATCGAGTATGAATAATTGCCAATCTGGACCAGGGCATGCGAGGGACGACGCCAGTTGGGTTCGTTGGCCGAGCTGGGCTGGGCTGGGCTAGGTTGGCTGGGTTGATTGGTTGGTTGATTGCTTGCTTGGTGGGTTGGCCGGTGTGTCGGTTGGTTGGGCGGGTTTGTTTGGTGTGTTGGTTGGTTGGTGGGTGGGTTGGTGGGTCGGTGGGTCGGTGAGTCGGTGAGTCGGTTGGTTGGCGGGTCGGGTTGGGGTGCGTCGGTTTGTTAGGCGGGTGGGTTGCTAACGTGGCTTGGGTATGTTAGTTAGCTAGTGTGGTTGGTTGATTCATTGACTGCAGAATGTACATGTCTTTCGGGTGATGTGCTTAGGGCCTAGGTGCAGACGTGGCTATGCTGGATGGTACATGCTATATTTAATCAGAAGCTCGGGTAGTTCAAATTCCAAGGTGATCGACAAAAAGGCCCCCCATGCGCGTAGACACAACACCACCAGCAAACGCACTCCGCAGAGGCTGTTGATCGACTGCTCCATGCGCCGACTTCACGGACCTTCTCGCCGCCCGCGTTGCTGGCTGCAAAGGGTTGCGATTTCGCAACGAACAGTTCGTGGCAAGCAGCGCTCATGCGGAGCGGAGCCGGGCTGGGCTCGTCTTGCACTGAAGATCCCCAGTAGCGAGGCTTCCAAAACTGCGGCCAGCACTGTCGGGAAGGGAGGAGGTGGGAGCTTCTGCTTTAAGCTACAGTCAGTGGGAGTTTAAACTCTCTACTTAAATCCGGGAGGAAGCCATGTTAGATTCGCAAGAGTCGAGAATAACGCAGTCATCGCCCTTTTTGTTCAAAGCTGCGGTACTGGTGGAGGCAGCGGTGTTCCAGCCCAGGCGCTTGCGGGAGCAAGGGAGCCTGCCAGCTACGCCTCGGGCGCTCAGTGAGCCCGGGCGGCCATCAAAGGCTTCAACTTCTCGACAGTGTGACAGTGTCGAAGGGCTTGCGGTCTCTGGTTCAGGCCTCGTATTATGCTGGTTTGAGCTTTGCCTTCTCCCTGCAATCGGGGCCCCGCTGGCTGAAACTTCGGTAGTCTTGTGGTTGAGCGCTGGGCATATGTGGAGGCTGCCACAACTCCTCGACGCTCGCCCTCGCCCGCACAGGTCTCCTGGCAGACCTGAATTACGAACGCATTCGATTCACCTGTGTACAACTTCCGCATAAGAAGTGCTCAAGGCAGTAATTTCGTCGTATTTCTGGTACATTCATGTAGTAGGAGCTGCAGCAAATAGGGATGATCTGGTGCGATCTCAGGCTACCGGCCCGGGCAGCTCTACCAGCACCCAGAGTACAAGCATGTCGGGAGAGCTCCATAAGCAGAAACAGCCGAGGTGGTGCTGGGTTCGATTCGGGCAGGAGTAGATCTTACGATCACGGAGCAGGGTGAAAGCTTCCATGGTAGGCTGGAAAGACGATGTGCATTGCTGGAGCTGGTTTTGTCGCAGCCCGGAAGATAGTGGATGTAGTGAGGTAAACACTTCCATGTACGGTATGTGGCCATTGCCTGAAGTATCGAACTTGGGCCAACTTGGGCATGAAAACCATCAAGCATCGCAGATATCACAAAAAGAGGTTCCAGACTTAGTGCCAGCATTGCTTAGCAACAACGAGGATAGAGTCAGCAAGCACTTGCCACAGGACCGTTCGGACGATTCGGATTCCTGCCGTGGCGCGAAGCTCGTCCTGCAAAACCACACGGCATCAGGACTTGGACTTTATAACCACTTGTCTGAGATAGCCTTCGGCCCGAAAGCCACAACAGACACATTCTTCCAGCTAAGTGCAATTGGAGTTGGAAAGAGGTGCCCAGCTACTGTATAGAACGACATGCTTGCTGAGGACTCGACAGTGGGGCTGCAAACAGGACTTGCTGCTCTGACATGCTCTGACATGTTAGCCTGCACATCCAGCTTGCATCCATTCAGGGTTCTTGTGACGGTGGTGTATGGGCAGGACTGGCGACACAAGCCCTGCTGCAAGCACTGTCAGGAAACAGGGCAGCGTCAGCGGTCGAGTAGAAAGTGTATCGCCTGCACCTTTTCGGGAGACAGACTCCCGAAACGAGACTGGCTTTGGGACAGAGCTCGGACGAAGGCGAAGCTCCACTCCAAGCTTTGAGACCCGGACTGCCTTTGTCCGGTCTGTCTTTGCGGCTTGGAAAGGGATCCTTGCCCGTGGTCAATCAAAGGCCTCGGGGCCCCAGGAGGTTTCGAGGCGGGCCCGAACACCGGGTTCCTCCCAGACTCCGCAAACCAAGCAGGCGCAGGGTTCGGCTACGCCCAAGGCGTGCCCGAAACCCAGCTCTGAGCTCTCGCGCGCAACTCCGAGCTCTCCTCGGACAACCCCGAAGACCAGCCCTGGGGGAACTCCAAAAGGATCCCCACGTGTCGTCCAGCGCATCACCCGCCGGGACACCCTCGAGCGGCAAAGTCCCGCCAAACCGCGGCAAAGATCCGCAACTCCCAGCCTGGTGACCCGTTCGCGCCCAGCAACGCCCCGCAACGAAAGCTTGCAGCTGCTCTGCTCTTCGCAGGCCGATGATGGATCCCGTGATGCCTGAGCTTCCGACATGAATTTGGGGCCTTTGTTCCAGTCCCAGGCACACTTGAAGGGTTGCCAGCAGGCAGCAAAATCTCGATCCCGCGGTTCAACCCTATTCCGCTTGAGCCCCACTACAACCCAGGTGGAGTTGCTTTGGCAGACCTCCTCACATCGCGCCCACCTGAGGTGGGGGTCATAGAGCGGGGGATTGCATCAAGTTGGATCTGTGTGTGATTGTACCAGTCTCACTTACGCCACTACGGGATTTTGTATTTATCCGATCGTGTGATGCAGTTGCAGAGCCCGATAGTATTGCACGGTTCGTGTCCTTGTCTACCAGATAAACATGTTGCCATCCAGGATGTTTCAGGTATTCCCTTTCCAGTCGTTTAATTCATGTGGGCAAGGCATTGTCGAAGCAGTTTTTCATCTAGGACTACGGAATCATGCTCCAAGTTGAACCAGCAAGGTGCAATAGTTTGCAAGGTGGAAGCCTCAATCGAGTCATTGGGCGATGCACACACAGACACACACACACACACATACATACATACACACACAAGTTACAGCCCATCATCATTGCAGGCTGCAGCTCTGGACCTTCAGCTGGAAGCTCGGGATCATCCGTGCACTTCGGGTATCTTCGGGCTTGCGATGTTCTTGGAAAACGCACAGAGTTTAGTTGTACAGTGTACAGTAGAGCTGGGTGGCGTTACTTTGAGCAACCAGGCTTCCTAGAGTGTTTCTGAGATTATGGCAGGGCCAATGCTACACAGCTTGGTCGTTGAAGTTGGGATGGCGAGGACTGTGACTGCCGGAACGCGGAGCAGCCAGTCCTCCAGCTTTTCAACCCCCGAACTCCGCTTGCCCAAAGTCTTAATTTATGTGGTCTCCCAGTCTAGTCGACGCAAGAGCCTACTCAGAGGCGTCATGAAACAACCCGACACCTCACCATAGGATTGTCCGAGGCCCAGTCGGGCAACGTGCAAGACGAACAAGTGGCTCAAAGTCTGAAGCATCGTTTCTGCAACACTGTCGTGTCGCATGGTCTATGTAGGAGTCATGGTCTATAGATTGCCCTAGAGCGTTGGAGCAATCTCGGAGCGGCCATGGCAAGTCTCACCAGGGCCAGGTGGGCCAGGTGCTTGGCCTTCTGCGAGCGTGCGAGGGGCACGAGGAGCGCGCTTGCTCTGGGGGCTCTGGACGTGCGCAAAGTTGCCATGGGGCAAAGTGCCCCCCAGAAGGATCACCGCGTCTGGCATCTGCCGGAATGGGCCAAGGAGGAGAAGCGACCTCCTCGTCAGATGTGTGCTTTGGGCGCAGCATTGCTGCTTCCACTGGGTGCGGGCTCGTTGGCAGTGCATTTCCTGGATGCCGACACTGAGGAGTCTGAGGAGGCCGAAATCCCTAGCACGAAAGCAGACCTGTCGCGTCTAAGCTTGAACTGGTCCTTGCACTATGCCGGTGCACTCCTTTCTTCGGCTGGAGCCATGCATTGGGGAATGCAGTTGGCAGAGATCGGGGTGCCAAAGCGCAGCGAGTACATGAGCCTCTACTACCTCTGCCGCTTCAGTGCACCCGCAGTCTTCGTCTTCTTCGGCTGGGTTGGCTCCGTGTTAAGCACGGCCCTGCCCTTCGAGGCAGCCTTGTGGCTGTTGAGTGGGTTTGCTGGCTTGCTCAGCTTCGACTTCTTGGCCGGTGCTTTCCGTATCACTCCTGCCTGGTGGTTCCGCTGGCGAGCGGGATTCAACCTCTCCGCCATCTCCTGCATCCTCGTGCTGCTACTAAGTGAGCGCAATCTGTACTTGGGCCAGAAGCCCAAGATGCGCATGTGAGATGAAGAGCCACCAGGGCCGCAAAAGCAATGCCTCTCCGATATCTTCCGAGGTTTGCTTAGCCCGAGCTTTACTTTGGGGTGTTGGAAGGTTCAGTCCGACTGTGGCAAGCCACGAACCAGCGAGTCTGAGAGCGTAAGCCCTGGTCAGGCTGCGACGTTGTGCGCTGAACTCCGAAGGGGCCCTCCATGTGTGGCATGCGGCGCGCCATCTTAGTACATCAGGTTTGGCTTCGGGTTCAGATTCCTTACGCGGCCTAGAGATGTGTGGCTTTGGATGTACTAGGTACGATGGGTCGGGCTGAAAAGGCTTTAGGGTGCAGTGACGATTGGAAATGTGCGGCTTATGTAGAGGATCGTAAGGGCATAGTTGGTCATCGTTGGTTCATATGATAGAAGCTTAAAGCTGAGAGTCAGTAGCGGACTGATTCGGAAGCCCCAGGATGCAACAAAACGGTTCAGAAAGTGGAAATGTCGTCTTGCGTTTGGGTGCACGCGTGCAGTGGAGACACTGACGGCAACGTGTGACACATCCACATATGGTGCTCAAGCTGCCGGAGTGTTCTGAATTTGCTTCACGTAGTTTCTCGTGTCGTCCCGAATGTGCGTGCATCTGTTGCTGAGTTGGCTCTCCTGGATTTCGAAGTTTGTTTCCCAATGTTCATCTGTCTGACCGCCGCGCAGGTCTATCAGGACATATTGAGGAGAGAGGGGAGCAGGAAAGACCAAAACCCGAGACAAAGCAGAAATCGGCAGACGTTGTCTTCGGAGGCGCTCTCCGAACAAGCGAATGTCCGGTCGTAGTGCTCTGAGCTGGGCTGTGCGGTGAGAATATTTCAGTTTGGGTGTTTCAGCTTGAAGGTAGGCTGCTCTTATGGCGAGGATGACAGATACATCTTAGGTGCCGGTCGAAGAGAACGAAAAACATCAAAAAACAGTCTGCGCGCGGTAAGACAAGGATGTGGGCACTCAGAATTCTCTTGGTATCTTTGGAGCACGCGCAACTGCAAACCTGTGCTTCTCATGCTGTTTGCCGGGGTTGCCATCACCCGTTTCTCCAAAAAGACTCCCAAGTTTGGTTCTCATCATTCCAGTTAAGCCTCACTAGCACCGTTTCCGGCAACCTTCTTCACAGGGTTGCATCACAGCTTGAGGCTCGATCTCGCAGAAAATGTCCTCGATGCTGCCGCTTTGGAGGCATGTCATGTGGGAGCGTGGTTTCTGTTCTTCGGGTGCCGGGTGGAGTATACCTGAGGCCTCTAAGATCCTACAAGAGATTTCTAATTGCCGAAGCACACAGAGCCTTCCGTCCTGGCATCACAAGGCCATGCTGAACATGTCGCCCAAGGGCCGACTCGGTCCGTACCCTGAAGAGCTGCCCGGCTGGGAAGTCAAGTTTGGATTCTTAAAGGGCTTTCGAGGAATCAGGGTAGCAGTCCGGTGTTTATGAACGGACTCCTTTTGTGCCGGATGAGAACGAGCACGGGTGCGCAGGCGTCATGAAGCTAACGGCGATTTGGCCCGCCTGCATCACCAACCCATTGCACTGCAAACTTTTCTCAGCGACCATGCATAAACATGTGGTCCGGGGATCCATCAAACTAGAGGCTTTCCGGATGCCTTCACCTTGATGCGCATCTGAGAGCTGCTCACAGCCGTGGTTTTGTTTAGCCGAAACTGACCTTGACAGGCCAGCAAGTGACAGGCATAAGTTTGGTTCATTTCTCAGAAAGCACCTGAATTACTGAAGTGATAGTGCCTGACTCGGCAGCACATGAAAAGCGAAAAGCCATGGCGCTAGCTGTCGTCGATTCTCAGCCTCCCGGGTTGTGCCCGGCGCAGCAGCTATCCTGCGCTCCACCAGCGGAGACCCTGTGCTTGCGGGAGAGCGGAGAGGAGGAGGCTAAGGAGAATTGGCAATATCAGAATCTGCTTTCTGTGGCTTCCTCTCAGCTCCAGCGCTTGGAGCAGCATGGTGCCCTCCGGAAATGCCCTGGCTATGACCTCTCGGATCCTTGGCTGGTCGCAGGCTCAGAAGCGGATGGGGCAAAGTCGGGCAAGGCCCGCGAGTTTGCACGACTCACGGTTCCAGGCATGCCCTGCAAGCTTGTGGGCGAGGCAGGCCGGATCGTAGCTTACCTGGGCCCTGCAAAGGCAGTCGCCGGCAGCCCTTCCGGGCCCCCTGCTTCCCAAGCATGTCAGGTGCGGCTGCCAGAGGGGACCGTGAGCACTTACCCGCGCAGCAAACTCTTGCCGCTTCCCACTCGGCCAGCTTGTCAGGGCGATTGGGCTTTAGCAGTGGATTTGAAAGGGGCGCTGGAGCACCTCAATGGCTTTAGATGCGTCTGCGGAATCGGAGTACGGACTGTGAGTAGCGGTCCAGGCTTCTGGGTGATGTTTGAACCCAAAGAATCGGGCATCAGACCAGAGCTGGAATTGCTTCCGAAAGTGAACTTGGTGGCCCTTGCAGGCCCGCCTCCCGGCTCTTGCCAAACTCCTTGGGAGGCCCGCCTGGCAAGCATTGCTCCTCAGGCCTTCGCGCAGCTTGCGCAGGAAGACCTGGAAGATGAGGCCGCTGCAGAAGCCAGGCGTGCAACACGCCTCCAGGCCCTCTGCGATGGCGATGAAGAAGACGATGATGAGAGCATGGACATTGATGACAGCGATCAAGAAGAGGAAGAGGAAGAGACACTCACTGTGGAAGCTGGCTCTGTGGTGCAGCTCACGGCCAGCGGCTGCCTGGGTATTGTTCAGACAGTCAACGACTCCTCTGTGGAAGTGCGACTTTGCCAGGGCCGCGGTAGCAAGGTCGAGACACATGCGGTGGCATCGCTCAAGGCAATTTCGGAAGATCAGGCGGTTGCGCAGGCCGTTTGCACAGAATGTGGGTCAGCATCGCCAGAGTCGCAGTTATTGATTTGTGAGAACTTTGCCAAAACCTGCTCTTCGACGACACATATCCGCTGCCTCAACCCTCCGCTGAAGAAGGTGCCTGAGGGTGACTGGTACTGCCACCTTTGCCAGCCGAAAGGCTCAGGTTCGGTGTCGGGCAAGAGCTCTGCTACAAAGGCCGCGCCTGCGCCGAAAGCCAAGGTCACAGCCAAGTCGGCACCAAAGGCAAAGGCCACGGCCAAGGCAAAGGCCAAAGTCCTTTCAAAGGCCAACAGCAGTAAGTCTAAGCGTGGGTAGCCTTGTAAACTCTGAGACGCGTGTGTGTCGTAGGTCGTCAGAAGTGTCTGCACGGCTACACGGAAAATTTTTGGGGACTGCAGTTGCGCCCCGTGCGCACGCGAGGGTAGCAATCATCGCACGCAGGGCAAGCGTGCATTTGTCGTTTTTGCCGTGTGGTCGTACGAGGCCCCTCAAGGTGCATGGGCACCTCGTCCTAGTCACATAAACGCCCCAGGGTTTGATGCATGGAGCGAGCCGCACACAAGGCTGATCTTGCTGCCCAGCGCTTGCGGTGCCCGTCGGCACCTCATTGTGTGTTGAGTTACGTACATGCAGTGTGGCGCTGGTGCGTAATGTTAGCAACTGACCGGCCCATCAAAGGGCCACCACTCCTGTGGATGCACTGCAGCATGCGCGTCACTATGACCCAGTGCAGCACCATCAGTACTGTCACATCGAAGCTGGGCATGCGACCCTTCCCGCGGAGGGTCATAATTATTTAACTACTTGATGTTTGCCTTTGCAGGACCAGTGGCACAGCTCGTGCAGCAGATTGCGCCCTGGTATGTGCCTTACCATATTCACATCGCGGCTGCGTAGCAGATGCCTGATACGGGAAAGCCCGGTGCTCGCAAGTAATTATGGCGCCGATGTTTGAAACCGTACCGACCGACCCATGAAGCAGGGGTGTGGAGTGCTTCGCTTAATTACTTGCCAGCCCGACCGAGGAAGTCCATTTGCCTCCGCAGTGCTGCAGTCGAGGCTCCGTCTCGGAACGGGGAGTCGAAAGAAATGCATGAACAATGTTCATATTTTTCTATGCAGCAAGAGCCGACCAGCCCATTGCATTGCACATGCATATGTATATATGTATATATATATATATATATACATGTGTGTGTCGGGTGTTGAGAAGAATCATTGGCGAATGGCAAGAACACGCTATGAGAATAATAAAGATAGCAATCACAACTCAATCATAATACTGTCTACCAGGCGATCAACACTGATAGTGGACAACCTGGGCTTAACAATCTTAACAAGCAATCATCAAGGTAGTCCTTTCTCTACAAAGGGTCCGGACCATTGATTGCGGCAGTGACATCAACCACTGCCCACAACAGTGGCAGCAAGAGCATCGGATTCAAAAATTCGTGGGACGTAGCGAGTGCAGAGCGGATGAGATGACATTTCATCACAGTGCCAGGTCGTGGTGAGATGATGTTGGTATCCCATGTTACTTGCGTGATCGTTGTTATGTGTTTTGTTTCCTGTGAGTCATTACTTGCAACTGCCACTCTTACAACGAGTATCAGTTGGCAGGCTAAGCATGGCAATTGGCGTTGTTGCTATGCTTATTGCTATGATGACCCTGGTCCTTTGCAGCCTCTTGGCGTGCGCAACCAATTCAAGTTTTCCACATTTGTGGTCAATTTCTAAAATGCTGAACTTCTGTCGCCGACTTCCAGCCCTGTACTTCTTGCACTCCTCACCCCCTTTCCCCCCACCTCCCCGGTCCGACATGCTTGTGGATAAGCTGAAGTTGCATAACCTGTCATGAGGCCAAGCATCGAACAAGGAACAACCGGCAGCAATGACCATTCTGCAACCGGCACCATCTCTCGAGTCTTCGCTTGGCTGCAGGCGGGCGAGGTCGCACAGCTCATGAACTGCTTCGGCGAGCTTTGGGCTGCAAGGTTTCTGCGGACCATTGCAATGCAAGGATTCTCCGACATACTGCAAAGTCTCACGTAAGCTTTCACAGAACGGGGATTCAAGTCCTGGAGAAAGGATGCGTCTTCCAGCAAACCTCATGTGGTTGCGCGAAAGTATCCCTGTCTGACAGATGTGGCCATTTACGGAGTTGTAGGATCGAGTCTGAGATGGGTCCTTCTTGCTAACTAAGACAACGCAAAGCCGTCAGTCAGTGCCATCATCGTGCCGCTCCCATTACAAGGGTGCGCGGGAGGTGCGGCCATATTCCGATGCCTCTGACAAGCCAAGGATTCGTTGGCTTCGGGTCATGTGGGTCGCCAACTCGGTTCAGCATCTTACGCTACAAAATCGACTTAGCTTTGCAAGATGGGCAGATGGCCTTAGATGACAGCCGAGAAATGTGAGGTGACTTGGGTGACCATATGGCGCCATGCAGAAGAGGGCTATCTGGAGGGCCTGAACAACCCTCGCCTTGGGAACACCCTTTGCTACGCTGTCCTTGCAGTTTGCTTGTGGCGGCGATTTGTTTTAATCTAGGTCTCAGTGGCAGTCTGATTTGCCGGACGTTGCTTAGATTCTGAAGGCCGGCCACCGCCAGCGCAGCTGTTGGAGCATGGCGCGGAGCAGCAGACTCAGCCACAAAGGTCTAGGTAGGGAGAAGCAATCTATGTAGAATCTACAACTGCAGCCGGCTGTGGCAGCCGAGTTGCTTGACGCACGATTGCCGCCAAGAAGTCTTCGGCATTCCTGGCTTGGTAGGTTCTCTTTGTCGCTAACTGGAGCATCACTGAGCTTGCAGCCCGGAGCCTGGCTTGGCAGACAGATGTGTAGTCGCAACTTTTCGCAAACTGCGAGCCGCGGAAAGTAGCTGGCCTCCTTGTACCGAGCAACGCCATGCAACGACACTCTGTGAAGACGCACTAGATATCACGACGGCCGAAGTGTGTTGAGGTTTGGGAAAACATCAAAAGCAATGAGTGAGGCCACAGCAGTGGAGCCTCGTTGCCGCCGCAGTGGCCTTCACGATGTCTCCCCCGATGTTGGCAGCCCAGAGTCCGGGCAGCCATCACTTACATCAAAAAGCACGGGATCAGCTCCATGTTGCAAAGTTATCCCGAGGCAGGTGCCAGACTCGGCCAACGTCCAGCGGCTGGACTCTCGGCCTTGCACTTTGCAATTCAAGACATTCCGCAAAAGTCTGGTGCGCGTCAGCGACTGCAGAAGTACCAATCGAAAAACAGGCCATGGTGATCCACAGTGCATATTCCTGACGAGCAGGCCTTTGCGCTCCACCGGACCCTGCTTCCGCCGCCTGGGTGGTTGCCGGGGCCCTGTGAAGGCGAACAGGTACGCATGAAATTTAGTTTGCAGGTCCCAAAAAAAAGTTGCGACAGAGTGTGGCCGCCCGGGTATGACCTGCCACAACAGTCGAAACCAGCCAGCAGACGTTCATTCTCTTCCTGCTGCAGGTGGCGGCTCGCTGAGGATAGAGCCTTTGGCCTAGACCGGCTTCGGGCATCCAACAATGGTGCTGTGTCATCAAATCCATGGTCATCCCGTTGCTTTGCGCAGCAGCTTGCAGGGATTCAGCATCCGCGACAACGCACTAGTTACAGCTATCGCGATTCTTTCCGCTATTTTCGCTTCGGTTGGCCAGGCTTAACGACTGCGACCTGAGCGAAGCTCTCAGCATGGGGCGAAGGGTCGAAACAGTGCGAGTCGATAGAGTTCAACTGCTAGAAACACCTTCCTCGAAAAGTGCATCCTGTTGTGCTGGCTACAGTGTTGATAAGGCCCTATCAGGCTGTGCTTGAACGGCCTTTTTTCCGACTTGCCGGTGCTGTAGTCATGCAACTGAGCCTATTGAGCCTGAGCAGCTGAATGTACGCTATCATGCTCGGTGTTGCCACACTTGCCGCTCGTTGCTGGTCGGTCTGGCGTTGCCGTGCATCTGCTTTGACTAGCTTCACAGCCTGAAGTAGCCCACTGCACCATATAATATATGATCCCGGTTCTCGG